TATACATATCATACGACCATTATTCATAAAAAAAACTATTATTGAATAACTAGTCTTTGAATAAATTATATTGTAAGCCAACACTCTAAATATCAAATACAATAATAACAAAACTATATTCTTATTATGTTACATTTAATATTTTTTCAAAGACAAATCAAAATCTATAAATTTATATAAAAATATTTCAATTATTAAATAATAACAATTTAAATGACATAAGATTGAATAATTGTCATAATTCTTAATTGAATATCATATATAAAGTATTTGATATAATATTATAATTTATATTATACTTATTTATGTGCTAATATTAACCTTAATAACCTTATTAACCTTAATAAAAAAAAAATTTATTGATACAAAAAATGAAAATAATAAATGGTGTTTAAATATATTGGATAAATATTATTTTTATTTATATAAAAGAGTGAAAAATTTTGTTCTAATAATATAATTTAAATTTATAATATAATATAATATAATATAACAATATATATATATAAATTTAATAATATAATATAAATCTAATAATTATAATATAAAGTAAAAACATTTTTATGAAAATTTAGCTAATACATTTAGTTACAAAATTATTAGAAATCCAACTATTATTATTATTAATTACTATTTATATTATTTCATATTTATTAATATTATATATAATAAATATATGTAATAAATATTTCATAAAAATGTTTATACTTTATGTTGCAAAATTTTTACTTTAAATAAATACCTAATTTTATTCTTTTAACAAGTGAAATTGTTTGAAATGTTAAATATTAAGAAAATAATTATTTTATTGAATTTTCAATCGCGTTAAATAATAAAATATAATTTAAGGAATCAAATAAATTTATATTTATATAGTAAGTATTCAAATTTATAAATTCAAATATTTACCTGAACTAAAGAAAATTTTATAATCATGTGATTTTAACAATTTAAATAGTAAATGATTTTTTAATTTTAAAATAAAAAATTTCTGTAAATATTATACATTAATAATAAATAGAAATATTTTTATATATTTGTAAGAAATACTAAATTAATGACTTATTTATTTCTTTAAATATAATTAAAAATTCAAAAACTTTTTTTTCTGTAGTGTATTAATTTATTATAATTATTTTTCATACACACTTTGAAATATTTAAGTTGAGTTTTCTCTGCATATGATAGATCACAAATATTTACTAGGGTGATTTTTTTTATTACGGGTGTGTTTACTAAAATGTTGCCTGGGAAACTTCTTTACTATAAAATAAATAATAATTATGTATTATTTGAATATTTTATAACTTATAAAGATAGTTAAAAAAATATTTTAATAACTATATTAATAATATTAAATTTAATATAATTAAATTTTCATTTAATAATATAAAATATAAATAAAATCAAATTTTTATTTAATGTTATGTAATCGATCAAAATATATATTGTATATATATATTTTTTTTACTATTTTATAAAACACCATTATTATAACTAGTAAATATATTTTTCTGTACGTACTAACTAACAATTTTTATTAGTTTAATTACATGATGATTTATTTTAATTCTATGATTAATTATTTGAATAAATTTTATGTTCAATGTAATATTTTAGTCTGTTTAATATAAATTAAAATATGAACAAGTTACAAGGGAAACAAGAAAGTTATTTTATACGAAAAAAATTATATTCTAATTTAATTATATTATATTTCTGACACTTAGAATATAAATTAAATAAAATTAAAATAAAGAAAAATAATAAAATAATAATAAGTTAATGCGTGCTTAAAATTGTTCCATGGAAATACTTCCGAAAATTTATTAAGCATAAAATGAGACATATTTATATTCTTTTTAATAAAAAAGTAAAAGCAATGACAGAATGGCTACTAAAATAAAAAATAAATTAGAAATAGTTAATTATTATTAAAAATTCAAGTCATTAATTACCTTTTGTAAAAATAAGTGAAGAATACAAATACAATTTACACTTAAATACAAATACAGTTTAAATTAATATAAAGTTATGATTTTAAAATTCATTTTTAATATAAATTGTTTAAATAGTAAATTAAATGTTAATTAAAATAATATTTAATAACAATAAAATAACAAATTATGCAAGCATTATTATATCAATAGAAGGTAATTGAATTATCAACTCGTGATAAAATACAAATTCCTTATTTAGTGCCTTTGGTGAAATCAAATCAAATTAAAAGACCGAAATATGTGAGAATAAAAAATCTACCAATGTATCAGTTTTCGATGTTTTTTAAAAATTTATTATGATACAGCAAGTTGGATCATATATCTTGAATATACAAACGAAAGTTGCACACTTTACTCCACGGTTAATCTTTTTTAAACGCTTAAAAATGCAGTTTTGATACTCCATATATACTTTGTTATTCAACAGCATACACATTTTGAAACGTAATCTGAAGCTGTACTCAACACTCACATTTTACTGTATTATTTTATAAAAAGTCTAAAAAGTTACACTTAACATAATGAAATTCTAATTGCCGCAACTATATTGCCGCGTTTATTATAATTGAAATGAAAGAGAAAATGTTTTGTACCACTGCTAAATGATACGATTTTGTTTGCGATGAAAATATCGTTTCTAAAGAATTCAAGGTGAATAATTTTGCAATAGCATATTTTATTTTTTATTATTAAATCTAATTATTTATTCATTCTTTAAAGTTAAGATAGATGATTAACTTACATTATAAATTATCATATTTATTAATGCTCTACGTTATAGATAGATTATATATATTTTACTACATTTTATTGTAATTAATTACATTTTCAATTTCTAAATGAAACTGATGAACAAACAAAACTTATGTCAACTAATCAAATACAGTTGTACGAAAACAATTTAGGTATAATCAAAAAAATTTAAAGATTTAAGTATTCATTAAACAATATGTTTGATTTATATATATATATAGTCGTTACGATGATTTCTTAACAAATATAAATTGCACTTATTTACGTGTAAAACAAAAATATACATAGGTAATATGCAATATTAATTTGGAGTACATGTTTTGATAATAGTAACTGACTAAACATTGTGAACCTCGCCTTAGTTCATTTCTTCCCTTTAAAATTTTAAAAGTTTTATTTTAATTTAAAAAATTGACGGTATAAACTGTTTCTTATAGACACCTAACTACTCCTAACTTTCAACCAATTATAATTTGTAAACAACTGTGTATTTAAAATTTATTTTATATAATAGAGTAAGATATATATTTTTTAGTCAATATAATATTTAATTCAATATTTCAGATTTTAATGAAGTCATTAAAAAAAATTATTTTATTAAATTTAGTTTTATATGAAAATTATAATTTACTTTGTAAAATGCTATATCGCAGCAATATATAATTTATAAATTTCTTACACTTTATTACTCTTCCTTGCTAAAAAAAACTGGTATAAATTTTAGCGGTTACCCACCATGTCCTTTCTATTGCGAATCTCTCGAGCTATAACAATTAGTTTCATGTATCATTCGCGATCTTTAGATAATTTTAATTTGAAATATAAATATTATTTATTTATCAATAATATTCATATATTTGAGTTTTTTACTCTTTACACTTCTTAACATAATCATTTTCGATAGAAAAATATATTGAAACAATGCAATACCAGCTACTAAATTTTATTTTTAAATACACTTTTGTAATTTAATTAATTTTATTTATTTATTATATTCTTCAATTCATTATTTAAAACTTTATGATAATTGAAATCAAACTTAAAGTATATACATTATATAAAAGAATGAAAATATGAAAAATCTGACTTCTAAATTTTTTTTAATAACTCATTTATTATAGTTTTTGAATTGTTTTCAAATTTATAAATCATTTAACCATGTAAGTAGTAAATACATTATTGAAATGATCATTAATGTTTTTTGAAATACAGTTGAAAATTAATGAATTTGTCATCAAATTTATAACAATGATATGTTTATATAATAATGATGTCTAAATGAGACCAATTTTAGCAGATTATTCATATTTTTCATTGGTTCTATGAATATATTTCATCAGTGTTATCTTATTGCAGAAAATGAAATTATTCAATTTATCAACATTATATTTTGAAATATTTTAAAAATATATATCTTTCTCATTTTTAAATTATTATTTATTCTCGAAAGTTTTTTATTGGTCGTAGAACTTGTGTTGTCAGAATTTTTAATAATTTGTATTCTCTACATATTGTTATTTATAGTCAATTTATTTTTAATAATCATTTCTTTTTTAACACTTTATGAAGTGTAATATGCAAAGAATAACTCTATAAAATATTTACATAAATATATAAAATATAGATATAATTAATTTTATTACAAAACCATACATTTTAGCGTTATAAATTTAACATAAAATTATAATTTATTTGATTATATCAATGAGAACTTTTGAATAAAATATATCCTATAATTTAAATTTTTATTTTTACATTCATTGAAATATGTACATTATTTGACAAATATTTTATTATAAACTTGTGAAAATACATGTCATGTCATGAGAGAGAATTTATAAATTTTGTCACAATTATTTTTGTATGATTATATTTTAAAGAATAACTATGAATTAATTATGGTTTAATATTCGCTTAAAGATTCTATTTAAAGATATTTTAAATGATTTAAAAATATTTTATTTCATGAAAAAATATTTAAAATGTTTTTTAAATAAAATAGTACTTTATTTTTACGACGCATGCGTATGATGGTTTGGTTTTTTAAAATAAACACAATATTATACTTAGTTTTTCTTTTATATAATATTCACTTCAATGACCAATGAGTAAAAACGAAGTAATATATTTTCGAGTTGGGGTGTACGATCTAATCACTTCGATACTTTGCAATTAAAGTTAATCATACAAATGTAATAAACTGTTGATTATCATTAAAACGTTGACCAATCACCAATCGACTAAGGCACAAAACTTGCTTCACCAGCAATATGGCTGTCAGTATAAATGTGGTGCTTGTAGGATGTATCCCTCTCCGTATTTTAAGAGAACAAAACGTCAGCAGCACCGAGCCCGGTGGCTTGATGTAATGCTAACCGGCAGCTCTAACGCATGGGAAACAGCAATGCGTGTCGGTTGATGGACATTACGAGTCAATTAAATTTTAACAAAATTTTCCCTTGTGTGTTTATTATAAATCTACAGGTGAGGGATACGTAAAATCACCTGAAAAAAATGTATACCAACATCTCGTGGGGTCAAGTAGCTTATATTAGTCGAATATTTTCAAGACTATAAGCTGTATAACTGTAGAAATTCGTAGATATGGACTTGATTAAATGAAAATTAATGAACTCGTACCCAGAACCCACTTGACCTCGTATGATTACATGCAACCATTAAGCCCCTTTCACCCTTCCCCCTCCTCATTATAATACAATAATTTAACAAAGTTTTAACAGATGTTGTCTCTTTAACTCTTACAGCCACTATAGACATTTTACTTACCTTCAAATATGACATCAAGGTTCGAAACTGTTTAGCTTATTTTTTTTAGTTTTGTAATTGCTTCTTAAAGATATCTGCAATTACAGATTGGATAGACTTTTCATATTGTTAGAAACTGGTACAAATGCAGTTACAAAACGTGCTGCAGCTCAACAGCTGGGAGAGGCTCAACGTTTACATCCCCATGAACTTCATCATCTTTTGGCTCGAGTATCTAACCTTCTTAAGTCAACTCAATGGGATACAAGAATTTCAGCTGCACATGCTGTTCAAGCAATAATTTCACAAGTACCTGTATGGGATCCAAAGCCAAAAAAAAAGAAATGTGACAATAGTGAGTTATCAATTTTTAATTTTTACACTTTGTAAATATATTGATATATAATTTATATTTATAGACAAAGAAGAATTATTACTAATACAAAAATCTAATCATAAATTAAGTCTTGACAATTTTGACATGACTAGAGTACTTGCACAAAGTTTATATCTCACTGGTTCTGAAGGCAGTGAATATGATCTTGTAGTAGTTGAAGGTGAATCAATAATAGTTCAAGATGAAAAAGAGTTAGCAGCAAAAATAGGTTTACATCCTCATTTAATGGGAGTTGATACAACTGATTTGTTTACTTCCGATGATTTAATTTCAATTACACCATCAACAGCATCAAAACTTCAATTAGAAAAAATATCTATAGAAGAAACATTACAACAAAGAACTGGCTTAAGTAGAAGAGAGATGAATCGTGCTCGAAGGAAAGCTAGGCAATCTATATCAAAACAACGTTCACGTGAACCAGATGATAACCCAGATATTGGAAATTGTTCAAATTCAACTCGTCAAATTCCAGAATCATTAAATAAAAAAATGAAATTAGAAGATACTGGTAGCTTAGGAGCTTGGTATAATTCTAGTAATGGTACTGTAATTGATTCTAGATGTGCTGTCCCAGATGGAACAGGATGTTGGCCAGATACTGCCATTGATTGGCCTTTAGAAGCATTTGCAGAAAATCTTCTTCAAGATCTCTTTAGTTTAAAATGGGAAATTAGACATGGAGCTGCAACAGCTCTTAGAGAATTTATAAGGCTTCATGGTAGAGGTAGCAATTTTAAACAATCATTTTTAATTTTTACCAGAAAATATAAATGTATAAAAATATTTATAATAAAGTAATTATGATATTTTTATATATAATTTAAATGTATTTTATGCAATGTAAAATCACTAAATATATATATTACATAAACATTTTCATTAACTATTAATATTGATTATATTAGTAATTATTAAATTAATATTAAAGTAGATCAAATTGTTCAGTTTATTTAATTTATGCAAAAGTAAAATAAAATTTTTTATTATAGATAATTTACTATATCTTTAAATATAAATTTTTTTTTTAAAGATCATAGATAATATGTATTAAAAATAAAAATTTTTAATTTTAGAATGTTTAGAAACTTTTTTTCAATTTATTTAATAACTGAATTAGAGTTATGTATAACAAAAAATATATAACATTGTGCAGGAGCTGGAAAATCAAGAAATCAAACATTGATAGAGATGGAGGAGAGTCATCGACAATGGTTAATTGATGCAGCACTTCGTCTTTTGTGTGTATTAGGTATTGATCGCTTTGGAGATTTTATATCTGATCAAGTAGTTGCTCCAGTACGTGAAACATGTGCACAAGCTCTTGGATCATTAGCTCTTTTAATCTCTAGCAAGAAAAAAACTAAAACGAAAGATTTAGAAAATGGTGTAAGTAAAAGCAGTGAGAAAGATGAAATAGAGCGGGACATGAATGGTAATCATCGTGATATTTTGAGTCTATTGTCTGTAATGCTGAGACTTTTGGAACATAATGAATGGGAAGCACGACATGGAGCCCTACTTGCACTTAAGTATTTATTAGCAATACGCAGTGATTTGCTTGATGAAATACTACCTAAAGCCTTTCCAGCAATCATGAAAGGTCTTTCAGATTCAGTAGAAGATGTAGGTGCCATGGCTGCCAGTGCTCTCATACCAGTTGCTTCTGATCTACCTCGACTTCTGCGTCCTACACAGCTAGAAACAATTATTTTAAGGCTTTGGCAACTTCTTAAGGAACAGGATGATCTTGCAGCAGCTTGTAATAGTTTTATGGGTTTACTAGCAGCAATTCTTTCATTACCTACAGCCAGAGCTTATTTAACTCCTCAGCCATTATCATTGGTTTGTAAGATTTAACAAATTATTCAAATATTAAGATTTAATTATAATAATATATTTTTATTTTCTATTATTGTTCAACTATTTTCTATTATGTTTTGTATTGAATGTATGTAACTGGTTAAAAATGTTATTGTTTTCTTTGAAACATACATTCATGTATTTTACTTAGTGTTAAATTAAAAATATATTTTGTTTTTGATTTTATAAAATTAATTTCCAAATCAATTTTTCTAATTTATATATGTATAAATGTATGAAAAATCTTATTCGCTAAAAATTCAATTTGCATGTATTTAAATATTAATTAATTGAAAATATAAAATAAAAAAATTTATATTTTATCTTTTTAGAATCTTTTGCAATTATACAATAAAATATTACTTTCTTTCACAGATACTGCCTCGTCTTTGGCCTTTTTTAAATCACTCTAGTTCTAGTGTACGTAAGGCAACATTACAAACATTAGAAACATTAACTGGTGAAGAAGGAGAGACTGACATTGATAGAGTTAGTCCAAAAGAACGTTGGGGTGAAGAAGGAGGGCTCATTCTTCAGGAAGCGTTACGTAATGTTTTTCAACGTGTGCTTATTGAACATTTGACTGGCATTCAAGAAATTGCAGAACGTGTTTGGAAAAATCTCGTGGTGCGAAGTGATCTAGAACTCTTGCTCCATGCAGCTTGCCCACTAGTTAGTACCTGGCTTTGTCTGGCTATGCAACCAGAACATGTGCCTTTCAATTCCAACCTTTTAATAAATGTGGCATCACAGAAATCTAAAAGCAATTATCAAGATAGTCAAGATTTATGCAGTAATCTTCAAATGAAATCATCATCGTCTTCATCTTCATCTTCATCAGAACTTAAGGTTTATATTGGTGGTATTGAAACAATTGCTCAGAGTACTCGACATTCAAATGTCGTACGTGCTCGTTGTATGGCGGCTCGAATGCTTGGACTACTCTCAGGTTATCTGGTTAAGCCAGCTCCTGGTCTTATTTATACTCCAGAAATTCCAAGTCCTTCCCTTTGTTATGCTAAAGTTTTACTTGCACATTTAAATTCGAGATCAGCATTACAAAGAACAGTTGTTGCATTAACAATGGCTCACTGGGCAACACTTGATCAGATGAATCCACCTACAATACCAGATATTCTTCGGTAAAATAATTATTTCTTATTGATTTTCTGTTATCAAGAATCTTGAAATTCTCAAAAATCTTATGAACCTTAAAATATTTTTCATTTCAAAAATATATCAAATTGTATTTCACTAATATAATTTTAATTCTTGAAGTAAAACTCAAACAAACTAAAATGAATCTAAACAAACTAATACATATTATGATTAGTTTGTTTCACTTTAATATTTCATTTCCAATAAATTAATTATGATTTTCGTAATTTTATTGTTTTTATTTAAGAACATTTTATATTACTGACATTAAACACAATGTAGCTGCAGATTTAAAAAAATCTAATTTAAGAATGTTAGAAAATATATTTTATATTAGTAAATACCTCTTTAATTTAAAAGATTCACTTTAATGCAATTAAGATAATATTTTAATGTTAAAATTTAAAATTAGAAATTTAAACTTTGTGATAATTTAAAAATATAAATAAATAATATAGAATGAAAATATTAGATAAATTATATAATATATAAAATTTTTCAAAAAAATTTAATGTTTTCTAACGTCAATTATTTTATTAATTCATATCTTATATAAAATAATTTTAATGTATTTTGTTATATTGTACTTAATTTAGAATGCATAATTATTAATTAAATTCTTAACAAAACAATTTATATAAGATACATCAATCTAATTATTTAATCGCATTATCAATATTAAGGATATTGACCATTTTAAATAATTAATAATTTTCTGATATTTCTTTGAATCAACTGAAAATTAGGAAACAGCTGTTTATCTGTTTAAATGAGTATATATATTATGATGAGATAGCAGCTTCGATGACTCGCTTACTACACGAATGTCGTGATTACACTGCTACTCTTAAACACTATAAGCTGTCTCTAGCAACCGAAATAAATACAAGCGGCGTAATGACTTTGGAACAAATTGCACAGTTAGCCTCAGCGGCTATACCAGGTTTACGAACTACCGCTTCCAATGGACCTATGAATTCTACAAATCCTGTTCTTGCCAAACTCAAACCGAAACTTATAGAAAGTTTGGAAGACCGTCGACGGGCATTAGAAATGGGAGCTTTAGCAAGTTCTGCTCAGCAACAAGCCATGCACATTACAGCAATGGCAGCTTTAGCTGGGGCAGCAACAATGCTTCATTGTCTACCAGAAGCACCACAACCCTTAAATCCACTGGTTAAACCATTGATGGAGGCTATTAAAAAAGAAGAAAATGAAGAGTTACAAAAGTTGGCAGCCAAGCATCTTGCGCATCTAGTTGATTTGTGCGTCAACAGAATACCTTGTCCTAATGCTAAGGTAGACATACTAAAACAATTAAATTATTTATATTTTTATGTTTATTAAAAAGTAATGTATAAAAATGAATAAAGATTTAAAGTTTTAATTATAAAATGAATAAAACAAATTTTAGAAGAATAAAAATGAAATTAATTAAATTCAATTATAAAGAAAGCTAAACTATTGTGTTTTCAAAAATAAATTTCTTTATAAATTTTCGATTTATGAAATAATTATAAAAAATACTAAAGTAAATACAAACGCATCTTTTAAATAATGTTCATTGCTGTCATATTTTCTAGAATTCAAAATTTCGGATAAAAGTTATTTTCTTCTATTCTCTTACATAAATGCATCAGTTCATAATGAAATAAATTATACAGTGAAATGAAACAAAAAATTAAATAGAAAATAAATTATAAAATAGTACTTAAAAAATTATGTTATTTTGGTTATACAAAAATTGTATGCTAGACCATGGAAAATTTTTTTAATTAAATTTTTAAATTAAATTTTAAATTAAATGAAAACTTCAAAAATACCTTGTAAAATAATATATCAAAATATTAGTAAAATAAATGCTGTATTAATTTTGTGCAATATATAGATATATATGTTTATTCCAGTTTTCTAAAAAATTGTAATTGGTCATCTTAATAAATTATTCATCGTTTAAAATAGTGTGTTAAAAAATTATATACTATTCATTTGTTTTTCTTCCTTTCCAAATTGAAAATTTCTCATTTAAAAATGAAAAAATTTATAAACTTGTTTTGCAATTTATAAACTTCTCTATAAATTTTTTATCTTTACAATTCTAATTAGATTAACAATTTTGTCCATAATTAAAATGCAAAAGAATAAATAAATATAATCAATAACAAGATAAAATCTAAACTAATATGAGTAGTATTTTATTTTTTAATCATAATGGAAAATATTAAAATCATTACTTTTATTGATAATAACTTATTAGTAAAACAATACCACATTCATTAATAAATTATATTTTTACATTATTATAGATAGTGACGAATCTGTGTACATTTCTTTGCTCGGACGTGGAGTTCACACCCCGTGTTACTATTTCTGATCTTGACTATGAACCTTTTAACGGTATTTTAACTCTCAGTAACAGACAAAAACATGCTGAGCGTTTAGCATATAATCGTGGTACTGCAAGTGGTACTGGAGGTAGCAGAGGACCAGGTAGACCACCGACAACAGACCTTCCATTGGAAGAACTTTTAGCCTGTGAAGAACCTGAAGCAAAAGCTTCCAGAACCAGAAGACAAGGAGCTACTGTTGCTCTTAATGCTATTGGTTGGTATCTAAATTATAATTAAATATTCAAAAATACTATATTAAATATAATAAAATAAAAATAAAATTTTTGAATAATTTCATTTTATGTAAGTTTACTTTCATTACCATAAAATTACATCTATTTGCAAAAAATTCTAATCTATATTATAATTACCCATACTAATTATCAATTAATTATCAATTATTAAATATTAAATAAATGGAAATCTGGTATTATAAAAGACATTTGTATTTAGTAGCTGAGCAATTTATCTGTAAAATTTTCTACATATTTTAACAAATAATTTTTTCTTCAGAAAATAATTTTGATTAAACAAGTTTGAATTTAAAGAAAATATTTTAATATTTATCTACTTTAACTGTATTTATTAACATTCATCAGTTTATTACATAATAAAAAAAATGTATACAAATATGCATGAAATAGATATAAAAAAGACTTAAGTTAAGACTACAATTTTATTTATACTTGTAAATTTAAATTCCATAATATTAAATAAAGCGGTAAGAATATTTACATTCAATTTATTTGTCTTAAAAAATTTGTTGTAAAGTGTTTAACAAAATAGTTATTATTGGAATAAACATTAAACCAGCTTCATAGTTTTTTTATATAAATAAATACTACATTCTTATTAATATAAGATAAATTCTTTAATCACTTACAAAAGATTTATTAAGTGTGTCTTACATTCATTATACTATTATTTTCCTATTTATAATAAAAAACATCAAATGATACTTAGCAATTTTACTGGGAGAACACCTGCCTGATAAACTACCACAATTATGGAATTTGATGCTACCAGAAAATTTAAAAAATTATGTTATAATGAATCAAAATTTGCTTTCTGCTGAAGAAGCTAATCAACTAGTTTTTAGTCTTCAAGTACTAGAAGTAATAGCTCCAAGTTTAAATAAAAAATTAATTGGACCAATAATAGAGTGTTTAAACAGCATGTGTCTACTTTTGGCCAATCCTTATAAAATCGTAAGACATATGGCATCACGTTGCATTGCTGTACTTGCATCACTTAATACCAAGGAGGTAAGGACTGTATAGTGATTTGAATATTATGGTAATTAATAATCTTCTGAAGTAAAAATAAAATTTATTTCATTTATATTTTTGTCTAAATTATTTACTAAAAATCATTGTATTTATTAATAAATGCATAGAATATTTAAGGACATTTTATGATAAAATAAGTTTTTAAATAAAACTATTGTATAAAGATTTTGTTTTTAAAATATTTTATAGTAATTAATACTTTACATTCAAAATAAAAACACTTCGAAAATTGACATAATTTCGACTATAACTAATCTAAAATTGAAAATGAAAACATTAAATTAAAAATTAAGTATTAAATCAAATTTAATATATTATCTGTTTTCAGACAATGAATTTTGTTGTTCATAAAATAATTGTACTTCTCGAGACCAACACAGTAGAACCTAGCAAGAGCAATATTATGACCGTACCTAACGATGTTGATGCTCGACGTCAAGGTGCTGCAGAAGCTCTGACATGTCTTGTTGAAAATCTTGGTGTTGGTATAGTACCTTATGCCGTACTATTCATGGTACCCTTGCTGGGAAGAATGAGTGATCAGAATCAAGCTGTTCGATTAGCTTGCAGTGCAACTTTCGCTACCCTTGTTCAACTACTACCCTTGGAACCCGAAGCTATTGATGCATCTCAACTTACGTAAATTTGATTCTATACAAAAAATTTTAATATTTTTAAGAACAAACTGTATTCAATGTAAATTTAAAAATTTTATTAAAAAATAATTTTTCAGTGAAGAAAAAACTCAGGAGAGACATTTTCTTGAACAATTGTTAAATCCTCGCAGTATTCCCGACACTGAATTAACAATACCAGTGGCTGCAGAATTACGTTCCTATCAACAACAGGGCCTCAATTGGCTCAGTTTTCTGAATCGCTATCAACTACATGGAGTCCTTTGTGATGATATGGGGTTGGGGAAAACCTTGCAGACCCTTTGTATTCTAGCACTTGATCATCATCGTAATAAACAATTGCCATCAAGCTTGGTTGTGTGCCCACCTACTCTTACAGGACATTGGGTTTACGAAGCCGAAAAATTTTTTGAAACAAAAGTTCTTTCGGTAATACAATACACTGGAAATCCTGTAGAACGTGAGAGACTGCGTTCCCGTGTCCTGCAATACAGGTAAATCATATTTCCACCCAAATTCTTATTACTACAAGTATATTTATAAGTATATGTTTGAGAATTCTGTTATATTTTAACTTCAAATATTAATATATATTGTTTTAGAATAATATAAATTCAAAAATATTACGTAATATTTTTAAAAATATATAAATTATAGTATTATATACTTTACTATAATAACTTAAATAATAGTGAAATGAAAAGTCTAAATAATGTAATTGACTTTGTAAATTTATAAATGTTGCTTTCAAAACTTTCAAATTTAATATCTAATATAATACATTTAGTTATCTCTTTATTTAATATATAAATATAATACATACAATATATGCATATATGTGTCAATGTATACATTTTTTTATTTTTTCTAACAATTGTTCTAATTTAATAGTTTAATTTTAATAGTTTATAAAAGTATCATTAATTAATTTCATATTTATACTCTATCTTATTTTACGTAAAGTTATCCTTATTAAAACATCTATTTTCATTTCCGTTTATGGATATGATTAATTATTCCATATTTTCTTAAAATATAATTAACATAATAAAAGAATAAAGCAATGCATTTAGTAATTTTTCAATAATGTCAGTCAATTAATAGTTAAAGATTCATTTTAAGTGAAACAAATTAATTTAGTTAATTAGGTATTATTACAAATACTTATTACATACTAATGTTTATATACTCCATTAATTTTACTAAATGTGCATATTTTGAAAAAAATGTTCAATAAAGAAGTTAACAAAAAAGTAATTTAAATAATGGTTTGAAATTCTGCCTTATGATTCTTCTGATTTCTGGCAAAAACTATTTTTATGTTTAATACATTTAATATCAAATTTATTTTCATATTTTTACATCATTTTTTAGGAAAATATATGACTAAGAAATGTACAAAAAAAAATAATAGAAAATTAACTTTAATATCATGCACAAAAACTTAAAATAAATAAAAGTAAAAATATTTATATATCTAGGTTAGTCGTTGCTAGTTATGATATAGTAAGAAAAGATATTGATTTCTTTGAGGCAATTCAATGGAACTATTGTGTACTTGATGAGGGACATGTCATTAAGAATGGAAAAACCAAAAGCGCTAAGGCAGCAAAAAAATTACACGCTCATCATCGTTTAATCCTATCTGGAACTCCAGTACAAAATGATGTTTTAGAATTGTGGTCCCTTTTTGATTTTTTGATGCCTGGCTTTTTAGGTAGTGAAAAACAGTTTGCTGCAAAATATTCTAGACCTATTCTGGCCTGTCGTGAACCAAAAGCTGGAGCAAAGGATCAAGAAGCAGGTGCCTTAGCTATGGAAGCTCTTCATCGACAAGTAAGTTAAATTTTTTATTACCTTAAAATTTCACCCAAGGAAATATTATCTTATAATTAGTATATTAATCGTTATACACGTTTTCACGTTTTAAAAACGTTCAAAACTGATTGATAATTTGATTAAATTAAAATAATTATTCTAGTATGATGCTCTATAAAATGATAGATTTTCAAAAATTCTTTTAAGAAAAATATTTTAATGAAATGAAATCCTTTTTTACTTTAAAATATTTGAGAGATACATAAATGTTTTTCATATTAAAATTAAGTATTAATTTTCATCAAAATAACTGGGTAAATTTATAATGTAATAAATCCCTTAACTTAATAATTTTTTTCTATAATAAAAAATTTTTTATTGAGTTTTGAATATGTATTTATTATAAACAGAAAAGAATAGTAATTAATATTATTTCTTTCTGATAGAAGCTATAAGTAACTGATTTCAGAATGAAATAATAAAATAACAAATGTTCAGTATCAGAATATTAATCTAAAAATATAATAGAAAATTTAGAAATCTGATTTTAATTCTTTAAATAATTAATTATGTATGTATTAAGTTTATGAGAAATTCTACTTAATTAAATTAGATTATTTTAAAAAAATTTTCCTACAAATAAAAAAGAAGTCACGGAAGAATATTTTTCATTTACTTAGTATATTTTAATATGGTTGATAATGTTTCCAAACAACCATTATATACATATTTTACCCAGTATAATATAGCCTTTAAATGAATTAAAATTGTCAGTTTTAATTATTTTTAAAAACAAAAGCATAAACTGCATGCTTTAAGGTTAAATACTTAATTTCTAATATAAAATTTTTATTCTTTTGCATCAATTATCTACATTGTCTATTTAATAAATATTTTTAAATTAATTTCAATAAATGGACTTTAAAAATTAAGTCATTCTTTTGCTTAGTATATATGGATGCTAAAAAATCTATAATATTGAATACTTGCTTTTAAACAAATGATTATAAATGATGAGTATTATAATTTGAGTAACAATTTTGTGATAACTCAATACACTGCTTTATTAATGAACTATTTATTGTAAATTTATTCAAATTTAATAGAAAATTATAAGTATATTATTTATCTACTTAAATAAGTAAATAATTATAAACAAATTTTGTACACAATTATAATAAATGAATTGATTAACAATGAAATTTCAAGTATATACTTTTAAGTTAAAACTTTCAGAAAATAGAAAAACACAAATATTTCATAAAAATAAATAATAAAAACTTTGTTGTAACATAATAATGTTTTAATCAATTTGATTTGAAAGGTATTGCCGTTTTTATTAAGGCGAAATAAGGAAGATGTATTACAAGACCTTCCTCCAAAGATAACACAAGATTATTATTGTGACCTCTCAATATTACAAAAAACTCTATATGAAGATTTCAAATCAAAACACTCTGTAGCATTAATTAATAATGCTACTTCATCAAATAATCCACATGGAGGACACGTATTTGAAGCCTTAAGATACCTTAGAAATGTTTGCAATCATCCAAAACTTGTTCTTAGCACAAAACATCCACAGTATCAAACGGTAATTAAGTTATTAATTATTGATATATCAAAATGATAATTTTAGTTTTAAATACATTGAATTAATAAATTGATTTTTTAAAAAAAATATATTTATTATATATTATATATTTAGTTACATTAAGTTCATAATTAAAAGATCTTTTAACGAAATTTAATATTATCAATTATATTATAATTTAGTCTGTGTTTTTAATTTTTATTATTTTATCATTTTTAAATATTTAAAAGTTTGATATAATAGATAGAATTAACTTACATATAATTTAATTAAAAATAATGTTCATACAAATTTTAATATAAATGCTTACTAGAAAGTATATAAATATTGATAATATATACATGTTATATAAAAAAAATATATTTATTTAATTTTACTATACAGTCTGACAGTAAAAAAAAGTTATAAGTAATCTTTACAAGCAAATATTCAATATTTTATATACTTAATAAATATAACAATCTTACGTATTCACACTTTATCTGATTAAAAAAAAATTTTTGTTTAGATAATTATTTAAATAATAAATATCTTAAGTGCTGTTTATTTAAATATTTTTAATTATGAATGATTTATACTTGATGTTAAATACTCAAATGTTATCCTCTAAGAAGGCATTACAAATATAAGATGAATTGCTTTAATTTCATTTTACCAATAATACATTCCTTTGTAAACTTGTCTCTAATTTGAAAATTAATTATACTTATAAACAACTATATAAAACATACTTTAACTATTATTTAAAGAATATAATATTGATATTTAAAATTAAAATATGTTTTGTTAAAAATAAATGTTTATTTTAATGAAAATATATTTTTTCAATTGATGTGCTATTAAAACGTTAATAAAAATGTACTCAGGTTATCAACATGCTAAAACAACAACACAGTAGCCTTGCAGATATTGAACATGGAGCTAAACTTCCTGCTTTAAAACAGTTGTTATTGGATTGTGGTATTGGCCATCCACAACAACAAACTACACGTAATTCTAGTGGATCAAATAATGATAATCAGCAACAAGCACAGCTTGTGAGTCAACATCGTGCTTTGATATTCTGCCAACTAAAAGCTATGTTAGATATTGTAGAACATGATCTATTACGCATACATTTACCAAACGTTACATATCTTAGACTTGATGGTAGCGTTCCGGCTGCTCAACGTCATTCAGTTGTCGCTCGTTTTAACGCTGATCCATCCATTGATGTACTACTATTGACAAGTCAAGTAGGTGGACTTGGGTTAAATCTTACTGGAGCTGATACAGTTATATTTGTTGAACATGATTGGAATCCTATGAAAGATTTACAAGCGATGGATCGAGCTCATCGCATTGGTCAAAAAAAAGTTGTTAATGTTTATAGACTTATTACTCGACAAACTTTAGAAGAAAAGATCATGGGACTTCAAAAATTTAAATTACTCACGGCAAACACAATTATATCTACTGATAATGCTTCTCTTGAAACTATGAAAACAGAACAGGTTAAATGTTTTATTGCTCTTATTAAGATTAAAAGTATTTTATATTTATTTTATTTTTTTCATACATAACTTTAAATAATAGATGTATACAAATTTTTAATAAAAAATATATAAAATATATATTATAAATGCCATTTGAAATTAAAAATGTTTTTTTAATTACTATTTTTTTTTTATTTTTTTAAGTTCATATAACTGAATGATAGTGATGAAATTGTTATGTGAAATTTACAACTAGAAATATTACAAAATTTTTAATCAATCATAACTGTTTTGAGTAGTGAGAATTTGTATTAAATAAATTTATCATTGATGAGTAATAATTAAATATCATTTATTGTTAATGAATATATTCTTCTATTAAATGTAATTTGTTGTTAATGTCTATTTATATTAAATATAATTAACAGATAAATAAAACATTGTCACAATATTTATATTTTGCAGTTATTGGACTTATTTTCATTGGATAATGATAAAAAAATACAAAGTGATACTATAGTAGAAGAAACAGGTGTTACAAAGATGAATACACTACCTGGAGTAAATAAAACAGTTTTAGATATTCTACCTGAACTCTGGGAACATCAACAATATGACGATGAATATGACATGGATTCATTTTTAACAACGTTAAAGGCTGCCTTTCAATAACAAAAACAAAAACAGCTCATTTGTAATGAATTACACAAATATGTGTGTAATGTTTGATGAATATTTTGTGCAAATCATTTTTAAAACAAATACTTTTATAGACACAAATTAAAATAGCAATTTCAAATTCTTAAATAAGTTTTTTTTAATAATTTACTGATGAAATTAACAAAATTTGTATTTATACAATTTATTATGGATTATTATAATATATATATTTGTAAGGTAGGTAGCTCTACAATAAATAAAAGAGCAATAATCTATGCATAATGAATATTTTTTGTGAGTAAGATTAATAAACCTCAAAATAAATATTTGTTAATGTGAATATTTGTATAATACTATTAAAGTCATAAATATTTTGAAAAAAGTTGTAAAAATAATTTTTTTTTCGTAAAGAAATTTGTTTTTCTTTAATCTAACAATGTTATTTTTCAATATTGTCAATTTATTTTTTAAAATTTCACTCTATTAGATTATTATACCATTGTATTTTTTGAATTTATAATTTTTCATGATACTTTAATTTTATTAAAGTATCATATTATGAAGAAAAAAGATGAAATATAAATATTTTATTAGCGTATACCATTATAATGCCTACAATTTTAATAGTAATTTAATATTAATTATTGAAAAATAAAAAACTTAAGTCTAGCTTAGTCTTAGTTAATAAAAAATATTAGAATACAAATATTTGTATAAATAGAAATTTACAGTACTGACTCATAATTTGTGACATTCCTTCAGAAGAATAAATAGTATACCAATTCTTATATATAATACAGACGTAATGGAAAATTGTAAATAATCTAACCTATGATCTATTTTATAAAAAAATATTAAATAAGTGTATTAAAAATAATTTATTTGAATTGAATATTTTAAGCAAAGAATAAAAATTAAAATATTTTAAATTATTTAGAAAATTGATTACAGATATACTATTTGTACAAAAGTATAAAATATAAATAAATATGCTGTATTTAGATTATCTTTAAATATAATTTAAAAACTATTATACAAGTGGTTGTACATATGGTTTGATCTGACATAAATTTCAGAAAGTAGTTTAAAGTTTTGCTTTAAGAGTGGAATCAAGATTATTAGTAGCAAAAATATTGTTTGGATCAAGATGTTTTTTAGTTGACCGATATAAAGACAAGCCAACATCACCTACCATTTCAGGATAAAACCTTGCTCTTAACTTTCCTATTCCATGATGATGCGAAAGACTGCCACCACAAGCTAATATTTCTTCTCTGGCCGATTCCTCAATTGCTTCGTAACAAGCTATAGGATCAGCAAGAGTTTCGTAATTAAATCCCATGTAAAAGTAAATGCAACATCCTGAATCATATGTTTGAGTAAGTCGACATGAAATCAAATAATGTACGATCCCCTTAGCATGACATTCTATTTCAACTCGTGCCTTGACATTACGACAAAGTGTAGAGGCTTGATTCCACGATACCGAAGTTTCAAAGCTTTCAGCAAGCACATGATAGTCGAGCCCTAAATCACGTATATATGCAATAACAAAAGTAAGGGTATAACCACGTTCACCATTTGTCTCTCCTGAAGGCACCCCCCCGTGACGTTTAGTTATTTCGTAAATCTTTGTCTCATGTAAACATATATCTTTAGTTGAATTGCCTTCAAACAAAAGAGTAGCTACACATAAAGCATTCCAGTTAAAACCTTTAATGCGTGTAATATAAGCTTGTTTAAGACCCTGCATAACGAGACCACCCCAACCAGTTTCCGTCCGTAACGCTTGGCCAAACTTGAATTGCTCATTATCCATTAAACGAATGCTAGCTGGTTGACATCGTTCCTTCGCTACCTATTAAATTAAAATTAATATTATAATTATTTTTGCAATAGAATTTTAAAATCATCTTTACAAATTTCACCCATAAATAATTTACATATTCAATCAATTGTTTGAATTAATAGTATTTTTATTTTTAAACATTTATAAACAATTAAATAATACTATAACAACGAATGAAAACATTAGCAAAATTATAATTAAATACATAAATTACTTTAATTATTAACGATTGAAATTACTAAATTATAGTTAATTATAGTATATTAATATTGGTTAGTATACTAAATAATTTATAAATTTATAAAAAAATTTTTAAAGAAATGAATATTCAAATTGTGAAATTAGTTACGTTAACGAAGTATAAAATTGATAAAATCTTTTTAAAACTTGTGTATCTTATTAAATTGTATAAAATGTGGAAAACAAAAAAGGTTCATAAAAAGATAAAGACCACCAGACACTAGAAAAAAATTTAAATGTTTATAGTAATTTTCAGAACGCATGTTAAAAATATTTTGTGGAATACTGAAATTATTATTAGTTATACAATTTTTTTAAATACAAATTTCTTTATTCATAAAATCGCTAGCATATTAAATTAATTTGATTTAATAGTTTAATAGATTTAATAAATGATTAAACAGTTTTATTTTAGTTCCTTTCATAATGTAAAACTAATAACTTTATTAGTTACATATTTGATATTTTTCAAGAAAATTATTCAGAAAAAAATTCAGAAAATTATGTCATGATGCTTTCAAAAGACAAAATAACGCAAGTCCGATATTTTTTATTTATTTTTATTTTATCGACATGTTTTAGAAATGCTTAACTACAATCAAATTATGAAAGAATTTTTTTATAACTGTTACATCTTAAATAAAAAATGATATAATTTAAATTCTTTTCCTGGCCTTTAAAAATAAATATGTAAAGAAGTAAATAACGTTACGTATACAAGTTAAAATTGAAGATCATAGAGTTCTACGTATAATTGTACTAAATAAAATTTATAAGTTCATTTCACAATGGATAAACTCCAATATAATTTTTTTATCATTATCGTTCTAATTTGATTAATAATAATATCCATAAATGAAACAAAATAATAAGAAAATAGAATCAGTACTGAGATAGAACAAAAAGTTATATGAGCAATATTTGATACTAAATTAAAAATGTTAAAATTCTTAATAATAATATACTAGTATAAGAACAGAATATTAATAAATTATAATATCTGTGCATGTAAAGATTAATTTATTTAAATATCAACTATAATACTTATTTAAGTACACATATAACCAGTATAGTATTAATATTATAAGTTTAATACGTCTACAATAAGCATTATAAAAATACATGATTTATGTAAAATATCATACAATTTTCCAACTAAAAATTAATTTTGTGACAAGTATTCTTTCCATCCGTATTTTTGTATTATAAATATGTATTTCTATACATTTTTAAGTACATATAATAAATAAACAATAAATAATAAACAGAAATAAAAATCTATAATTGATTGATTGAATGAAAATCTTTAAATGATTATCTATAATCATATAACACATCATATAGTATTTTAAAATTTTTGTTATTAGAATCTTCGATTAACTTATCAAACCTGTCATGAGTGAAGATTTGAAAAAATTTAAGTGATTTTCTAACTACAATTGCATTTCAACTATTTACTGCAATGCATTATTTAATATGTACTTTTTCAAGAAATAAAGTTATTTTTTATGTAATTTTAATGTAAAAAATAAATGGAAAGCAATTTTTGGTGTGGTAAATTTTTTCTTGAGAAATATAAAAAACACAAGCATGTAATAATTTATTTAGTAAATCATAAAAATCCGTAACTTCACTAGACAGTTGAACCATTTTTACCTGTCTAATAGAATGACTTTTTATCACTAACATATTTTTATCGATCAATCTTTAAATCCTAATTACATTAAAAAACCCAAAATATTTAACTTTAATATTTAATAAGATAAAGTTACTTTTGGATTTTGGAGGATTATAAGATTATATAAAAATAAAATAAAAAATTTAGTACTAAATGAATGCTAAATTGGTGCATTGTTTTTGCTAATCTTGTATTAAGTGCTTTTTCGAGATCAGTTACTAGATTAAACTTCTGGTCATACCATTTATTGATAAAGTGAATATAATACAAGTGTAACAGTTATTATTATTAAGAATTGTGGTTTATGCATAGTTGTAAATGCCGTCACTAAAGTACGATACTCATTTAAAAATAGACGGCCTCTTATGGTTTATGAAAATATTTAGTTTTTTGTAGATGATTTTTTTGGAGTTCTTTTAAATTACGTCTTATTATAATAGTATGATCCTATAAAATTTTCACCTGTCTGTACTGATATTGCTTCGATCTATTATGTTTGATTTTAATTCGGATATAAATTTTGTTTAATAAACTAACTTCTAAAGCGATTTATTTGTATCTTTATAGCTATTCATTCATACAGTACTTTTATTTTTTAATTAGCAGCTTTGCAATATCTTTTAAATGTTATTTTAACAATTACTTTCATCCAATTTCTATTTTTGACATAATTTTTAAATAATTTAATTGCCGTTTTTATTTTGTTATCACTAATGTGATACTGATGGAATATATAGATGTACCATTATAATAGATAATAAAAAATATTGGAATTTTTCGTTATAATTTCATTGTAACTTATCATTAAGGAAGATTTATATACTTGCAGCTACAACAATTGTTTTGTCTTTATTTGTGGACTTTCTTGAATAGTATAATAAAATAGATATTTTAAGAATAAAATTCAAATCTGTCAAAAAGATATTTAAAAATATTTATCATAACCTTAGTTAGCCAGATTTAATAGAGTTTTCAGAAATCTGCGGTTATATACATCAAATATATACCAGAAAAAGTGGTTCTTTTCTCAAAACCTCGATACACCCAAGTCGATCGAAATTTCATAAGTGTAAATAAATAAATTTCTCGTGTAACACATTTTACTCTTATTATAATTTTACTCATACTTGTTCATTTAATTTTATAATGAATTAAGTACATTACCATTAAATTATAAATTTACAACTCTTAATTAACAAATTAATACTTCTGCATAGGTATTAATTTAAAAAATTATATAAATATTTTAAAAGTAGTATATTTTTAAAAAATACATAAAAAAAATATTTTATTCATATACACGTTTTATCTATTAAATATGTAGATTATAGTAATATTTTATCTGTATTAAAATTAAAAAGTTATATTAATACTACTCAATAAATTAATAATTTTTTACATATTTTATTTTTATAAAAAATATACTTTTAATTGATCTGGTATTTTAAAAATATTTACTTTTTTATTTATGAATTATATACAAATGCAGACGTAAATATGCATATATCTTTTCATATTTATTATAACTATAATTTTATATTTAAATAATTAAAATATACGCTTCTACTTGCATACGTATTTTTTTATTTTTCTAGTATTAGTCTAGGTTTTAAGATTTTTATTATTACTATTGTACTAAAAATTATTTATGTACAAATATTTATAAATTATCGTAATCTTTTAATTCCTTGTATTTTTTTTGTGATACCTAATATTTAACTTAAATTCATAAATATGGTGGTTATTTGTGAATTTGTAATAAGTTTTTAAATTTTGATTAATAATCTGAACAATTTCCGACATAAATATATACACTAATAATGTCTAAAATAATCATCTGATTCTAATAAAATATATCAACAAATATAAAGACACAATGAATAAATTAAAAGATTCGAACATTTTTCTTAATTTATATTTATACCAAAATTACATTTGTTTTGAATATGATTTAATAGAATAAATTAAATATAAATATGAATGATTGCATAAAAAATATGAATATGATGAAAGATAGAAATTGAATAGAAATAATAAGACTATCATAATGATATAAGACTAAAATAATGATAGTAAGAATAATAATATATCAAAATAAGATTATGCGTCATCACGTAATATTATGCTCCAGTTCAAAAATATTTGAGTATACCAATATATTTTTATAAAATGAAAAACAATGTAACAGATGGAAAGTACAGTATAATCGAAGATAATAAAATACAACGTAATATAATAATTAGATAAAGAAGGAAAAATATAATATATCGTAAACTTAGATACAATGGAGATCTATGACTCGATAAATAATATACCAACAGGTAGGGTAACCGATTAATAATTACTTTATACCTGGGAATATATTTACATTTAATTACATAAATACTTACTCACTAAGCGCTGTTACAAATAATACTCATACGCTTAAATTAAATAATGAGCCTGTATTAAGTGAAAATTTACAAGAATAAGGAGAATTTGAACAAAGCTAACAATTTCAGAGTTAATCCATAAGTAAATCAAACTAGAGCTCATACAAAGGGATATAGCATTATGGTGTATAAGGATAGAACATAAACTTGGAATTATTTTTATAACGCGAAAGAGAAAGTGCAAAGAGACTATGTAAAGTAGATAACCGTAGTTGATATTAAGGAATCTAAATTTCATGAACATTTATATAATTAAATGCAACGGATCGTAATTCCATGCGATATATTTATACAAAAAGTACATAATTGAATATCAACAATTTCAGAATAATTGTAATCACCTTCAATATTACGGTAATTAAAACTTTTTCATAATTAATAATTTTATACTTTAATTACCATTTTCATTAGCTTGAAAATATTATCGATGTAAGAAGATGGTTTTGGGATAGTAGTAAGTGGGCTCCCGATTACGAATGTCCGATAAGTGCTGAATGGTCTTTGGAGTCAGCGCGCATTGATTCTAATGGCATTGTGAAGAGGATCGCGTCAATTTGGACAAGCGTGTCCTGATTTCTTCAAATGTCGTTTCTCCAATGGTGTGCCTTATGTAAAACTTGACAGAGTATACGGCTGCTTCCCATTTTCCTCTCAGGCGT